ATATTGATATTGGCTAAAAGGTTGGGGCCCTGTAACGACTTAATGAATGGTCCTTGTATACCTTCTGTAGCCTTGCTTCAGTGATAGCATGACTGTGTGTGCCTCTGTCTAGACATCATGTCACAAAGCTTTTAAAACTACAGCAACACAGCACTGCTCTGTCTAAGCTTTTGCTTCCATCCATTAATACTGTTTCCTTCCATTTTGACATCATAATGCAGTCTCTGTGGGCTTACAATGACATTATCTTGACAATTCTACAGTGAGACGCAGAACTAATGCTGTAGTTATTTTCTGCTCCCAAACCTCTGCCCCTGTAACTACTCTCCCATCTTTTGGTGATTAGAACCCTTGCTTTTCTCCATGTTTCTATGCTTCAAACTTTTAATATTAGGACAATCTATCGGAAAAATAACATATGGACCAAATCTTGAGACACCTGAATGTCTAGACACCAGGATTATTTAATTAGATTCTAACTGGAAATTAGGTTCAAATAAATTTCTAAACAATGTCCTTCTATTTTCCATAAACTGGTTTCATTCTTTCCATCCCCTTTAATTCTCCTTCCTTCCCTCCCTCCCTCCCTTCTCCTCTCCCTCCCTCTCCTTCTCTCTTTCTCCCTTTCTTCGTTTCTTTACTTTCCTAAATATTTACTGAGCACCTTCCCTGGGTCTGGCACCATGATAAGTGCTGAGAGTTCAGTAGCAAACACGTGAACAGTACAAGTACCCACATTCATACAGTTTATGATCTGGTGGAGATGGCAGAAACTATACAAATATTATAAGTGTGCTAAGTTTTGAGACAAAAATGTGCAGAGATTGACCAAATCATGTGAAGAGAGATATCTCATCAGAGTATTGAAGAATGTTTTCCTAAGGAACTGATATTTATGATGAGGCTGAAGATACCTAGGAATTAACCAGGAGAAAGATACTTGGATTCTTTCAAGACTGGGTTTCATAGGTAGGTGTGATCAATGGAACAGTGGGGTCCAGGAATTCAGGACATAATTACAATTTTAAAATGATGGATCATGAAATCAAAACTGATTGTGAAGGAAAATGAAAATAGGGTAGGTCTTATTGCTAGAGAGAAAGCTTAGGAGTCAATGGAGGCCCCAATGAGGTCCAAGAAAAGTTCATGGGCATCCTTGAGTATACAGAGATAGAAGGAAAAGAGGCTGTGGAGCCCCAGATAACTTCATAGGTGACCCATGAATTAGTCATTTGGAAGGGAATCTGTTTCAGAGAGCAGAAGTCCAGGATGAAATCATGGACGATAATGGAACAAAGAGTCACTCAAGAGGAAAAGAAGGAAAAACTGAGAGCAGAGAGCATTGAGTGGTTCATTCATAGTGATGCTGAGGTCTCCCAGGGTGATGAGAGGAACCGGAATAGAGAGGAAGATGATAAGCTGAACACTAAAGTTTTCTTTGAAGGGATGATGGAGTTGGTGTTCTATACTAACATCATTTTTTAAATCAGAGTTTCTCAAAGTGCGGTCTGCAGACTGTAGGCAGTCCCCAAGATCTTATGAGAGCAGTATCTGGGAATTCAAAACAATTTCACAATAATACTAAGACATTATTTTCTCTTTTCACTGTGTTCATGTTTGCCCTGATGGTGTAAAATTAATGTTGACTAAGGCTACTGTGGCCTTGACACAAGTCAAGGCGGTGGCGTCAAACTTATAGGAAAGAAGTTTTTCACTTAGAAAATTCCTTAAAACAGTTAAAATTGTTAATTTTATTAAATCTCAATCTTTGAAAACTTGTTATTTAACGATTATTTGTGGCCAAATGGAAAGGCTGCATATAGAACTTCTACTGTGCCTGAGTATGATGACTGTCTTGGAAAAAGCAATTGTTTGAGTTAAGTCAATGTTGATGTCTTTTTCCTGGAACATTGTTTTTACTTGACAAAATCACTGCTAGACAAACTACTGTTATTCAGGCTAAGATAATTGGGAGACATTGTCTCAAAAGTAAGCAGAGGGCCTATTACTTCCAGGAAAACACATAGCATTATTTGTTACCAATGACAAAATTTGGGCTTTCAAATGAAAATTAAAATTTGGGAAAACATATTCACTACTATGAGCTTGAGATCACTGTTAATATTAATAAATTTGACTTTTAAATATTTTATATTGAAATATGTGGATATTTTTAAGATACATACACTCAGGGAGCCATTATTTTCTCAATTTCCAAGGTTTGCTGTTATAAAAATTATGTATGGATGTTGTTGTTGTTTATTTGCTAAGTCATGTCTGACTCTTTTGAGACTCAATGGACTGTAGCCCACCCGGCTCCCCTGTTCATGGGATTTCCCAGGCAAGAATACTGGAGTGGGTTGCCATTTCCTTCTCCAGCGGATCTTCCCCACCCAGGGACTGAACACCTATTTCCTTCACTGGCAGGTGAATTCTTTACCACTGAGCCACCAGGGAAGCCCATGCATGGGTAGTGGATCCATTTAAAGCATACATAGACCAATGAGTTTTAATGTAACAGAGAATTAAAAAATTCACCAATAGGCTTTCAGATTATAACGACAACTAACATTTAAGAAATTACTGCTTTTAAAGTGTTGGTGTAACATCAAAGAATATCCACAATTATCTGAGAAGACTATTAAAACACTCCTCAACTACGTTACTTTTTCAACTACATAACTGTATGATGCTGGACTTTCTTCATAGATTTCAATTAAAGCAACATATTCAGTGAAGAAGCAGAGGTGAGAGTGTAGCTGCTTCCTATAAACCAGACATCAAAGAGATTTGCAAAAACATAAAACATAACACTTTTCAATAATTATTTTTCTTGGAAATGGATTTTTAAATAAACATACATGGTAACATGTAACAATTTCACAGTGATTTTAAAAGGGAAAATAAACACTTCAAAATTTCTCAGTTTTTATTTTATTTTTCGGTTTTGATTTTTAATTCTGTGACTATCAGTAGATCTAGTCTCCTTAAATAAAAGCTTTTCAGAGTCCTCATAGTATGTTAGTGTATAAAGGGTTCCCAGGATCAAAGTTTGAGAACCAGTGATAAATGTGAACACTACTTTCCTGAGGATCCTAGGGCTTCCTGTCTCGGGTTGCAGCCTAGGGGGGGCATCATTCATTACAAGGACCAGCTCATGGCATAATCACACTGAATTTTGAAGCACTACAGCATCATCCTTGCATACGGTAGAGGCACAATATATTTTTCTTCTTCATTTCTTAAAACTGTGATTGAATGAAGGGAAAACATGTACAGCTATTTTTTTTTATTTGCTTAAATTTTACATCTCAAAATTGATGCATGGAAATGAAAAGAGTTCTGGGGATGGAAGTTGATGATGGTTGTACAACAATATGAATGTACTCAATGCCACTGAACTATACACTTAAAAATGATTATGGTAAAGTATAAGTTTTATGTTATGTACATTTTACCACAATAAAATATTGGGATAAAAAGAGCAATAGGTCATATATCTTTTGTTTTAAAAACAGCGTATGAAATTTTTAAGAAGGATGATAGAATTAATCAAGTATTGGAAATACTCCTGCAGCCCAGGGTTCCAAGTAAGAAATACTGTGCCTTTATGAATGTTCCTCTCATTTCCTTGCTCTATCCCCACTCCTACTTCCGGATAATTTGAAGGTTAAAGGAATATATATTGTGCTATTGTTTCATGTTCTATGGCTACAAGTACCCAGATGCCCAAATCAATGGGCAACCTGTACAAATTAAAATAAAATTAAGCATCTGTTCAGCCATAAAGAAAAGGGGAAAATCCTGCCATTTGTGACAACATAAATGAACCTGGAGTACATTATGCTAAGTGAAATAAGCCAGGCAGAAAAAAGGCAATACTGCATGATCTCAGGTATATGTGGGAATCTAAAGAAAAGTCTAACTCAAAGAACCAGAGAGAGAATAGAGGGGCTTGGGGCAAGAACAACATGGGCAGAGATTGGTCACAGGATATAAACTTTCTGTCATAGTGATAGCTTATGGGGAACGATGTCAGATTCATGATCTCCAAAGAAGATTTAGCTTTGGGATCAGGGACCAGGCTTGATCACTCAAGAGCTTTTGTGTAGCCGCGTTTTATTAAAGTGAAAAAGGAACAGCAAAAGCTTCTGACATAGATATCAGAAGGGGAAAGAGAGTGCCCCCCTCACTAGTCTAAGTGAGGGAGTTATATACTTTTTAAATAGTTATTACAGTAAATCAAAAGAAAGTCTCAAGGTTGTAAAGATCTTACTAGACCCACTCCCATAACTTACATTTTGAGATAACAGGATTAGCCAGAAGGTTTTCAGGAAGGAGAAACTACCCTCAAGCAGGATACATTGTTGTTACATAATCCTTAGTAGAGTTTAAACTGAGTTGTTTGTTGTGTCATCATCAGAAGAAAACTATGTGACTAAGACTAAGAAATGTAGAGAGGAAAAAAAAAGATGTTTGTCCTTTCCTCCTCCTTGAGAATTCCAGACCCCTATCTCCACTTCGAGAGGCCCAGACCACTTTCTCCTCCTCGGGGACCCCAGACTTCTTATCAGCCTGCCTAGGAATGGACTCTCTCAATAGGATGAGAAGTTCCGGGATTCTAGTGTGCAGCATGGTGGCTGGAGTTAGTAATAGCATAGTGTACACTTGGAATTTGCTAAGAGAGTAAGTCTGAACTGTCTTAGCACACAACAAAAGGAAACAAGGTAATTATGGGAGATGAGGTCTGTGTTTCCCTTGATTGTGATAATCATGTCACAATGTATATGTATACCAAACTGTCATATCAGTCATCTTAAATATAACATACAATTTTTCCTTATCAATTATGCCTCAATAAAGCTGGGGAAAAATTCAGCATCTGTTTTCATATTATTAAGATGCCATCATATTAAAACACCTTTTCACATTTATAATTACAGAAATTAAAATGATCATGATAAAAAGTTAAAAACTGAATCGAGGTCTTTTGTCTCTAGGAGAGTCAGTCGGGCTGTTGAGAGTTTCACCCCCACAGCTGTTTCCTGCCAGTTGGACAGCTGGGCAGAGTGGACAGACTGCTTTCCATGCCAGGACAAAAAGGTGAGACAGTAATGCCCAATTCTGGAGCATTTAGCATTTGGATTGTGCAGTATGCATTCAAATGGGGATAAGCAGTTGGCACTATAAATCTAGAAGTCTAGGGATAAGATGGGTCTAGAAATAGGTATTCAGAAGCCATACACACATGACGGTGGAACATATTTCTGCTTCTTCTGATTTTGTTTGTAAGGCATTTGGATGAGGCTACACAGACATGTGTGTTATGGCTTAGATGGAAAAAAGTAGCCTTCCAGACATGGGCACACTGATCCCCACTGGCCTCTCTGGGTCCTGGCCAACCTACTGCCCTCCAGTGAGGGTCATCTGGAGGGACCAACGACTTGAGAACAAAATGCCAAGCTGTCCACGACCTATGGAAAACTGAGATAAACCAAAGCATGCCACACAGGGTGTTTCTGAGGATTTCACTTTCATGCACTGAAAAAGGCTGACATGCCCAATGAACAGATGTATATCTATCTTGCCCACATAAGTGGTTTTAATTGGTCCAAAATGATTGCTAAACTCAGTAGCATAAGGGGGATATTGGGAGCACTCTGCTCTGGCAGGGAGCAGTATTACAGCTCTGTCTTTGTTCAGAATCACTGGCCTATCATGATAATAAAAAGACTAAATTCTATTCTGTTTTCTTAGTATTTTAAAATCTCTGCAGATAACACACACCTTCACCGGGTGCAGCCCCTTACATGCTGCACCACTGCCTGAGCCTTGTCTACTAGCCTATTGCTGTCAAGCCTGTGTTTCAGCTTTGATTGAACAGCTTAGATTCTGGTTTGCACCTTATTTGCTGTGTTACTTTGGACATATCTTTTACCTTCTCTGTGCCTCTATTTCCTAACCTATAAGTGAAAGTAGGAACAGTATGTACATCATCGAGTTTCTGAGAACATAAAATGAATAATGCATACAAAAGCACTTTTCATGGCATCTGGCACACAGTAAAAGTGAAAGTCGCTCAGTTGTGTCTGACGCTTTGTGACCTCAAGGACTATACAGTCCATGGAATTCTCCAGGCCACAATACTGGAGTGGGTAGCTGTTCTCTTCTCCAGAGGATCTTCCCAACCCAAGGATCAACCCCAGGTCTCCCACATTGCAGAAGGGTTCTTTACTGGCTGAGTCACCAGGGCAAAGAGTAAGTGTTCACTAAATGTGAGGGGTTTCACTTCCTTTCTGTGCCCTCTTCTCTACCCCTCCTCCCTCTGCCTTGAATCAAGCCCTCCTTTTTTCTCATTTGACCTCTCACAGAGTCTGCTGATGGTTCCCCTGCCTCCAACCCCCTCCTCAGTGAGACAGGAAAGTGCTCTGGGAAGATTTGATGACACTGGTGGAAACACCATTTGGACCTAGTTTGTTCAACTCTGAAGGCTTAAATTTATGATCTTGCCTCTCCCACCTCTGGGATATGCCAAAGAATTCTAGGCATTCCAGTTTAAAAATATCTGGCCCCCAATTCTCATTCTGCTTTGACATTCTGGATTAATTTTGTGAATCTGCTGTGATAAATGCCACAAACTGGGTGGCTTAGAACAACAGAAATGTATTCTCTCACGGTTCTGGAGGCCAGAAGCCTGCAGTCGAGGGGCCAGTAGAGTCAGTCTCTCTCTGGAAGCTCCAGAGCAGAAGTTGTTCCTTGCGTCCTCCAGTTTCTGGGGGCTGCTCGCTCCCATCTCTGCTCCTCTGTCTGCACCACTCCCTCCCTCTGCACGTTTCCCTCATGTGTATAAGTGATGTCCCCCTCTGCCTTCCTCTTACACGACACTGTGATGGCATTCAGAGTCCGCCTGGATAATCCGGAGTAATTTCTCCAAATTAATGATGCCTGCAAAGGTCCTTTTCCCAAATAAGGTAACATATACAACTTTCAAGGATCAGGACTTGATTTCTGTGCGTGGCCATTATTCAACCTATTATACATTGAAATAACATCCTAAAGCTACACTTTTCTCTTGTGTTTCAGTTTAGATAGCAGATAGCACAGGTGAATGACTTACAGTTTACATCAGCATTGATTACTTTCTTAGGGATTCAAAAAGTCGTGTCTTTAAGGTAATTCTTAAAATGATCCTGTTAACTATTTAATTGAAAGGCCATCTGAGTTTCTTTTTATTAATATGTTTCTTCCTCTCAAAATCTCCCAAAGATGTGCATTTCTGAAAAGAAACATTGTCTACTAGGTAGAAAAGAAAATCATGTCTTAATGATACCAACCATGGGCAATGGCACGGAGAAGTCCCTGGGGGAGTATCTTTATCAACCTGTCTGCAATACGATGTCTTCATTATTTGATAACAACCTAGAAACTAGGGAGTGGGTGGGAATGAACCTGATGCCTGCACCATCATTCCAAGTATAGAAACCACAGGAAGGATGTTAATGACAATAATAGTGGCCATTTATTAAATAATTTCTGTAGACCAAGGACTGTCCTAATGCTTTAAATAAATCATCTTCTTATTTGACTCTGGCAGCCAGTAGTGGGTGATAGACAGATAGACACCATCCTCCCCTTTGCTTAGGTTGCCCATTAAGAATGCAGCAGAGCCTCAATTTAAAATCTGGGCAGTCTGATTCCAAAATGCCCATGAATCTGAACTGTATGCCTCTCCTGGAGCTATATGGAGAGTACTGAGCGATATTAGTGGTTACCTCATCCAATACCTTCTCAGTCATAATCGTTCCAGAGTAGTCCAACAGCTATAAGGATGATGACAAAGTTGATAGCTCTTATTACTGGGCACACACCAGAATGGAACAGAGAGCTGATGTCTTTACCTGTGTGATCACTGATCTTTAGAACACTCTCAGATCTCTCTCATCATACAGATGAGAACACCGAGGGTCAGAGGAATTAAGGACTTTACCCAGTGGCACATACACTGTGAGTTGCAAAACTGGAATTCTAACCCAGTTTAAGATGGGATCATTAATAGAACGTAACCTCCTAGACTTGTGAGAATTAAATGAGACAAATAATGTAGAGGGATTTCCCTGGTGGTCCAGCGGCTAAGATTCCACGCTCCCAGTGCATGGGGCACAGGTTTGATTCCTGGGCAGGGAATGAGAGGGCTTCCCAGGTGGTTCTAGAACTTGCCTGCCAATGTAGGAAACATAAGAGATGTAGGTTCAACCCCTGGGTGAAGAAGATCCCCTGGAGGAGGCATGGCAACTCACTTCAGTATTCTTGCCTGGAGAATCCTATGGACAGAGGAGACTGGTGGGCTATAGTCCACAGGGCCACAAAGAGTCGGTCATGACTGAAGTGACTTAGCCCTCACGCATGCACACAGGGAACTAGATCCCACATGCCACAAACCGAGAGCTTGCATGCCTCAAATAAAGACCCCATATGCTGCAACTGGGACCAGGAACAGGCAAACACATAAATAATAATATTTTTAAAAGAATGTGTAGTGTTTAGGCAATAGTAAGCACTCAATAACTGGTAGCCACCATCATCACCATCAACACATTAGTAACTGCAGGTCTCATAACTGATGAATGTTTTTTGAGGGCAAGAAAGAGAAGAGAACTGGCTCTATATTGGTATGACAAGCTCTCTTGTATTTACTGCATTGTGGAACAAGAATGTGGGTAGACACTGAAAATATCTTCATATTCCCACACTGACCATTAATTATACTCTCTTCCCACCAAGTTTACAAATCTGCCATCACTGTTATTAACTGACAGGCACGAAAGGCAGATGGACTGGTTGGAGCCTCACTTCTTTTTGCTACAACTGCCTCTTTGCTAAGGAGCAGTCATGTAGGCAGAAGTGAGCAAGATGAAAGAGAGGGCAAGTCACATTGCTTTGCACTCATCCCTGGAAGCATCTGGAAAAGGCTGCATTGCTAATGATAATGATGTAGAAACCATTTCTGCTTATTAAGCACCAATGATATGCCAGGCACAAGGCTACATGGTCTCAGACCTCTCGCTTAGCTCTCACAAAACCCTTTTGAGCTAAGGTATCATCACAAGCACTTTACATATTAGACAACAGATGCTCAGAAAAGATAAGTGACTTGCTCATGGGCAGTTGGTAAGTGAATCTGAGGTTTTAACCCAAGTAGGTCTGCTGCTGCTGCTGCTGCTGCTAAGTCGTGTCAGTCATGTCTGACTCTGTGTGACTCCATAGGCGGCAGCCCACCAGGCTCCTCTGTTTAATCTGGGGCTAATTTCATGTCCATGCTCTTCCAACTATAGGACACAGGTGGAGGAATCATTAGTGATTTTGATTAGTGAAGTAAACTAGGTCAACCACCTCATTTTACAGATTTGGAAACTGACGCAGAAAGTACCAGGCACTGATACTGTACACAGTGAGTAAGAGATAGATTCAAGTCAGGAACTCAATTCTCTTGCTTTTCAAGTCATTGCCTTCCTGTTTACTTATTACAGTCTTGAAGGCAGGGCCTGCGGGCTGAGCCAGTGCCTTCCTATTTACTTACTTACAGTCTTGAAGGCAGGGCCTGCGGGCTGAGCCAGTATAAGAGGCAGCAGAAAATATGGTGCTGACTGACACTCTGTATGAAGCTTTCTGTGCCCCCATGTTCTCTGTCGTTATATTATTTATCTCGTCAACTAGACTCTGAGCTTCTCAAAGACAGGGATGGAACTTCAATTTCTTGGAATATCCTACTGTTCAGCCTCCTCCTTATACACTAGTACCTCACACTGTACACCCTATAGAAAACAGTAACATAAAAACATTGAGCCCAAGATTGGAATGCATTTTATTCTTTCTGTCCTTCCTTCAGTAAGTATTTATTCATCTGAAGTCAAAGCTGGACACAGAGGCTCAGATGGTGTCTTCAGAGCTCTCTTTGTCTCTTAACGCCTTGCATGGGCTCTTTCTACCTTGTAGGCAACATGATCACTTGATACCTGGCAACTTCAGCTAAAAAGGAACTGTCTTTTCCAAGTTCTGAAAGAAAATTCCCAGAGAGGACTATGATTGCCATAAGGCTGAGTCATGAACCAATCATTGTGACTTGGCAGATATGGGACCCTGGTTTCCCTGCCTCATTCATATCCACACAACCCTGTGACTAAGGGGGTGACATTACCCCTACCTGAATCATATGAGATATGTCACAAGGAAAGGGGAGATGCCATGACCAGAAGAAATTTTACAAAGGAGAAGCAATAAACATCTTCTAAAAGTGCCTCCTATGCAATCCATCATAGATCAAATGCCAAGTACATGAAGCCAAATAAGACACTGTCCTCCCTTTGGTAGCCCTAACCCCATATGAAAATTGTTCCTAAAATAGGGAGACAGATAAAGAAGTAGACAATAGCAACCTTATATGACAAGTGCTAGGAGAGCGGGTTCATAGGGAACTGAGAATACATTACTGAGTTATAGAAGTTTTTCCCAAGAAGGTAAACCATGAGTCTTGAAAGATAAATAGGTATTAACTGGCTTCAGAAAGGGAAGATGGAGGTCCTCCCTCCAAGGAGGAAGACCTAGAAATACCTAGTCCAAACTTCTCATTTGATGTTTGGAGGCCCTAATTCAATATTCCAGCTGATGACAACCTCTGGTTGAACATCACCATTTATGATTACTCATCCCCTCCAAAGACAGCTTTGCAGGGAGCTCTCAATCATTAAGACAGTCATTCTTTATGTTGAGCTGAGACCTGCCTGCACCAATCTTGGTTGATTGATAAGACAATGAATGTGTCTGCTTCCAAATCTGATTTAGTACAGATACCGGAGCCTCTTGCAGCCAAACAAGTTTGGGGGAACCATCTGCAGTGGGAATGTCTGGGACCAAGCCAGCTGTCACAGTCCCACAGCTTGTCTGAGTCAAGCACAGTGTGGACAGGATTTCCAGTGTAAGGAGACAGGTGAGTAGCATCTCAGCAGGATAACAGCTGTGCCTGTCAAACTTAATGTACAAAACAGTTCTCCAGGAGCTTGTTAGAATGCAGAATCCCAGAGCCCCGGAAGTTATCATTCTGAAAGTTTCGGATGGGACCTAGGAACCTGAACTTGAAGTCAAGCCAGCAATCCAAGTAATCTTGGTGCAAGTTTTTGGGAACATATGTTGATTTTAAAAAGGTACAATTCACACATCCATCCATTCATTGAATAAATATTAATTGAGTGCATATGATGACCAGGTAATGTGCTACCTGCTGGTGATGCAGAGATAAAAAAATTCATGTGCTCCATCCTCAGCACTCCTAGACTCTTTGGGAGACAGACCAATAAGGCATCAATGACAATATCCTGTGATAGCCAGTGTAATGGGTGTATGTATAGGGTCCAATGTACAGATTCTCTGGCAGGGGGTGTCTAAATCTGCTTTGGAGGGTCAGGGCAGGATTCAACATGGTACTTGAACTGAGACTTAGAAAATGAACAAGTGTGCTAAGAGACAAAATGTGCAAAAGCACACAGGTTTAGGGCCAAAATAAGTGCTCTGGGAAGAGAGGCAGGGGATGGGCCAGGTTTCTAACTGGGGACCAGATGGCATTTGGAGACAGAGGAATGGGGATGTTCTGGAGGGTGCAGAGCATTTTAGATCCCTGGGGCTGTGACGTGGAGACTGAATAGAGAGGAGGAGCCTGGGGCAGGGTCTGAGCGGAGGGCCTGCAGGTGGGAGCAGCAAGGCTGGGAGGAGGGTGGAGGCAGTGAGGATGAAAGGAGGATGGGGCAGTGCTGAGGACTGAAGGGCTGTTTCAGAGATGGAACAGATCCAGTGGCCATGTACGGATGTGAGAGTTGGACTATAAGGAAAGCTGAGTGCCAAAGAATTGATGTTTTTAAACTATGTTGTTGGAGAAGACTCTTGAGAGTCCCTTCGACTGCAAGGAGATCTAGCCAGTCCATCCTAAAGGAAATCAGTCCTGAATATTCATTGGAAAGACTGATGTTGAAGCTGAAACTGTAATACTTTGGCCACCTGATGCAAAGAGCTGAGTCATTTGAAAAGACCCTGATGCTGGGAGGGATTGGGGGCAGGAGGAGAAGGGGACGACAGAGGATGAGATGGCTGGATGGCATCACCGACTCGATGGAGATGGGTTTGAGTAAACTCCGGGAGTTGGTGATGGACAGGGAGGCCTGGCGTGCTGCAGTCCATGGGGTCAGAAAGAGTCAGACATGCCTGAGCGACTGAACTGAACTGAACTGAACTGATACAGGCCAGGAGGGAGGGGGAGTAGTCCTGGAGTCTCTAGAAGCACCCACCACCTCTGCTTGCTCAGGTCGCTGCCTGAAACGCCACCTGGTGTGTAATGGAGACAAGGACTGCCTGGATGGCTCTGACGAGGACGGCTGTGAAGACGCCAGGATCTCGGAAAATGACTGCAGCCAGTATGACCCAGTTCCAGGATCAGAGAGGGCGGCCTGGGGGTGAGTCACTGCTTGCTGGCTCTGTGAGTCCCGGGCATGATCTCTCATCAATCACGAGTATTGGTTTCAGGGAAACAAGAGGGTCTTTGGGAGGAATTCCTCTGGAGTGCATCCTGAGAGGCCACCGTTACTCTGGTGTCTTACTTCATTCAGGCTGCTCTAACAAGATACCACACGCTGGGTGGCCCATAAACAACAGAAACTTATTTCTCAGACTTCTGCGGCCGGAAGTCTGAGATCAGGGTGTCAGCCTGGTCAGGTGAGGGTGTTCCTTCAGTTAGCAGTCTTCTTGCTGTGTCCTCCCATGGTGGAAGGGATCAGGGGCCCTGTGGGTTTCCTCTGTAAGAGCAGTAGCTCCATTCATGAGGGGTCCACCCTGATGACCAAAGCACCTCCCAAAGGCCTCCCTCTACATACCACCACATGGGGGCTAGAGTTTTAGCATATGAATGGGGGGGCACAAAATTCAGTTCATTGTTATGAATGATTTTGATTATGATTCAGTGTTATGAATTATGGTGATTTGCTCAGTCCTGCTTACATGACATAGCTCCTGTTTTCCCCTCAATGTCTCTATCCATATATCCTTATTTCACCCTTTACCACTCTACTGCTCATTCCTCTTGCCACAATTCCGTTTCCAAGGCCCTTTTATGAAGCTATCTCGTCTATGAAGGCTTCCAATATTCCCCCAAATAACTCTTCTCTGACTAAGTGCACTTTTCAGCAGCCCTATTCATACTCTGCTTTGCACTGCAGTTGCTGATACAACCAAGGCTAACATAGTGACACACAGCCAAGTAAATGGACTTTAAGGTGAGACACAGTGGAGCTTGAATCTCCATTTTGTGACTGCTGACTTACACCTCTCAGGACACTTTTTTTTTTTTTTTAAATCTTTGAGATCCAATCAGCCTTGATTCTAACTTTACTTCATTGTATACCTTAGGTTTAGGTTCAAACCCACACACACAACACTCACTTTTCTTCTGAGATTTCATAAAGTTAGTTCCTTCTTTCTGGAATACCCTTCCCTATATTCCTATCTGGTTACCTTTTTACCTAGTATTATGCACTGAATTGCATCCCCCTAAAATTCATATGTGGAAGCCCTAACGCATATGTGATTGTATTTAGAGATAGGGCCGTTACAGAGGTAATTAAGGTCAAATGAGGTCATAAGGGTGGGGCCCTAATCCAACAGGACTGGTATACTTATATGAGGAGGAAGAGACACCAGAGCGCTCTCTCTCACGACATGCGCAGAGAAGGCGCCATGTGAGGACATGGCAAGAAGGTGGCTATCTGCAACCCAGGAAGAGAGGCCTTATCAGAAGCCAACCGAATGGTACCTTTCTCCTAGACTTCCCGCTTCCAGAACTGAGAGAACATAAATTTGTCAAAATTCTTTGAGTCAGCCAGACTTGGGTATTGTATGGGGTGTATTTTGCTATGACAGCCCAGTTAAGACACGCAGACCTCATCTCCAGCTGGTCTTTTTGACACTCCCTCTCCTCTCAATGCTGTTTAGGCTGGCTTAGGCCCCTCCCACTGCTCCTAGCATCCCTGTGTGTCCTCCTCTCCCAGCACGTAGCCAACAGGACAGAGACATCTGTTTTCCAGGCCGAGGGATCCCTCATCATCTCTGCTTCTCCAGCACCCAGCACACGGCGGAGCTTGTAGTGACACATGGTATTGCTAGTCTTTGCTTTGGGCCTTGTCCCCTAACTTGAACATAAACTCTTTGAGGGCAGAGGCTGCTCTGATTCATGTTTTTCATCTCCTCAGCCTCTATATCAGAGCTTTTCCTAGAACAGTCTGTCACTGAGTATTGACTGCAGTGAAACAAATCAATAGGAGCAGCTGGATCTTTACAGATGAGGAAACAGAGAGAGGTAGTAATCATTTCACAGCAGCTGGGCCATGTGGCAGCCCACTCCCAGTCACGCGTGGGTTCCGCGACATGCAGTGCTCATTCACTGTGCTTTAATTACCTTCAGATCACAGCCCACCTACCAGTTAGGGCAGAATCCTGTAAGTGCATGTGGACACACACACATGAACAGATGATCAAGTATTTGTTTCTTCCAGACCAATAATATTAGTTTTCTGGGACTGCCATAACAAAGTGCCAAAAAACTAGGTGGCTTAAGCAATAGAAAATTTATTTTCTCAGGAGGCTAGAAACCGGAGATGAAGGTAGGATTGCTTTTTCTGAGGCCTCCTTGGCTGCTGAATGGGCGTCTTCTCCCTGTGTCCTCACAGGGTCTTCCCTCTGTCCATCCTGTGTCCTAGCTTCCTCTTCTTGTAAGGACACCAGTCATATTGGATTAGGGCCTTCCCTAATAAGCCCATTCTACCTCAATTGCCATTTTAAGGATCCTATCACCAAAATACTGTAAAATGCTGAGGTTTTGGGAGTCAGGACTTCAACATATGAATATTGGGAGGGCATATTTCAGGTTCTACCACCAAAATCTTGATTTTAAAAGTGACTATGGGATGAAAAGAGTATGAGCATGAAATACTGAGGTGTTGACTTGGGAAATGATTGCCTTCTTATTGACAAAAAGATCTCAGACCACGACCCTGATCTCATGTGATTCATTGAAATTCAGAAGAATTTCAAATATATTAATACTTGTTGGGTTGAGTACTTTGCTCACACTGAACACTGAAACCAGCAGAAAGGGGCCACCTCCACTCCCAACAGCTGACATTACGGTGGTTTTTCCATTCACTTATAAGCTCTCAGAGGCCTTTCCTGATATTTTATTTTTTTCTTATTTAGGCACTTCCCAGTTTTTAATTTTTATTTATTGTTACAAAAGTAATAACTATTTGAGGTTAAAAACTGAGCTTTTTCCTTCGCCATCCTTAACCTTGTCCCACCCACTTACCCTCTCTCTCTTCCTTCCCTGGAGCTGACCCCTGTTAAAAGTTGGGACTTCTCAGTCATGTAAAAATGAACTGCCAACGTACACTGTATGGAAATAATTCAATTAAATGTATTGTGCATTATAGACATAAGTATATTTTATATAAATATGATTAGACTATACATACTGCCCACAACTTGTTTTCACTCAATATTTTGAAGATTTCCCACCATATCATCTACTGTCTTTTTCTAAGCAACAATGTAGTGTTCCATAACAAGGGTCAGCAAACCATGGCCTAGGTGCAAAATTCAGCCTGCAGTCTGTTTTTAAATAAAATTTTATTGAAACACAGCTTTTGCCCTACAGAGGAAGAGTTGAGTGGTTGCAGCAGAAATCTACACAACCTGCAAAGCCTAAATTATTTACTATATGGACCTTTGTAAAAAATTAAAAAAAAAAAAAGAAAAACAAAACAACTTCCCAATTTTTCTATAGTGTAAGTGTATGATAATTAAATTACCTCCTATGGAACTGAAAGATAATTAGATTATTTCTCCCCTTTTCCTTTCATAAACAGTGCTACAATGAACATTCCCATATATATAATTTTGTACACATGTGTGACTATTTCTCCAGAACAAATTTCTAAAAAGTGGAATTTCTCTCTTTTTATTTTCACTAGGGCTTCTGCAGTCAGATTTGCCAACTATACATAGGTTTTACTTATGGTTAGAGATGGCAGTACAATCTTAGAGCTTATGGTTCTTTTGAGTTTTTCTTTGGTCCATTAGAGAGCCTGTATTTATCAGCTATAGGTAGCAACATGTTCTATAGGTGGAAAGATAGAAATTGCAGGGTAAAGAGTAAGAACCTAGATTGTAATGTCCAAAAAATCTAGGGAAAAATTCCCAGTACTGACTATAGGCAAGTTACTTAATTTTTCTGAGCTTCAATTTTCACATTTGTAAAATTGTCATGTGGTTGAAAGCTAATGTATGCTAAATATCTGGTAAAATGTGTATTCAATTCATAACAGCTATTATTACATCACTTCCACTAATAGGAAGAGAGAGATGGAGAAAGGAAGAGAAGAAGGAAGTTCACTTATATTGAACTTCTACTATACGCCAAGAGCTCCATAATTATCCATTTATTCTTTAGAAGCAGGTTTTATTCATAATTCTTCCCCTGCTAATTTGACTTTGTGCTTTTCACAAAGGAAATAAACATGACATATGCTATGCCAGAGGCAATCGCCAAATGCCGTGGGAACACAGAGGAGGGACAATTGTTTGTCCAAGATAATCAAAGAAGGTGATAGAGAGGAGGCAGTGTTCGAGTTGGGTCTTAAAGGCTGAACAGAAGTTTGAGATGCAAAGAAAAGCAATCATTTTATTGTCTACAACATAAGAGGCTTAGATTGTAAGGTCTTCGAACTCTTAGTCAACTTTCATGCTTTTGTTCAGTTAACTTTCTCTTTTTAAGAAATTAAAGCTGTCTTTCACCTGTTTCACATTATTTTTACCTAAATATGGTTAAACCATCCATGACGTAAAACAGAGGACTTAGGTAGATAGACATGAGGTATTGGGCCAGGGGAAAAGAAGTATTACTATCAAGTGTACTTCTGTTTTACCCTAATGCTCTCATTTAGACGTCACCAAATAAGATTTTTACTATTATGCTCTTCAAATGAGGAAAATGATCTTCAGGAAGTTTGTAGAAACTTTCTACAAAGTCACACAGCTAGTAAATGACAGAGCTGGAAATTAAGCAGGTGTCTCCCTGACTTCTGGAGAAGGAAATGGCAACCCACTCCAGCATTCTTGCCTGGAGAATCCCATGGACAGAGGAGCCTGGTGGGCAATACAGTCCATGGGGTCACAAAGAGTCAGACATGACTTAGTGACTCAACTCCCTAAATTCACACTGTGTTTCTCCATGCTGCCTAGAAGACTACAGCCTTTCTGAGAATTAGATCATCAGCTTACCACTATGAGCTATATCAATATTTCAAAGTTAGTTTTTAGCAGCAGAACTTCTTCTGAAATAATACTAACAAAAACCAACAGCAGCAACATTTTCTTAATATTTCATGAGTACTATTATGATTCCTTTACTTGCTTTAACTCATGCTTAACCCTGCGAGGGCAGTAGTATTAGCTGTTTGTTTGTTTGTTTGTTTTACAAATGACTAAACTGAAACACAGGGAGATTAAATGATCTGCCCAAGGTCAATCACACAGCTTGATGTGGCAGAGACAGGAAACAGATCTGGACTGTCTAGTTCCTGGGCTCAGAATTTTAATAATCATGCATATTCTTCTTCAGTTTACTCAACAAATATTTAGGAGTGCCTCCTCTGTGGGAGCGCTGTCGAAGATGCTGAATGATTTGTCTGGCTGGTCTGGTTTAAGGGAAGGTGGGAGGCTCGCACCCAGCTCACTCAGTTTCCCACTGTTTCCCAAAATGGCCCTTAAGGTACTGCAAGGAAACCTAGTGCCTCACATAACCCAGTTTGAGAAACACTGCTCAGCCTACCAGTTACATCAACGTGCAGAGGATATTTTGTGTTATTCTTTGCTTTTCCAGTGCTCTCTCCTAGAAGCTGCTTTCTTTTTCAATTTAGGTATAATATCCTGACCCAGGAAGAAACTCAGAATGTGTATGATGCCAGGTACTACGGGGGCCAGTGTGAGACTGTATACAATGGGGAATGGAGGGAGCTTCGGTATGACCCCACCTGTGAGCGTCTCTACTATGGAGATGATGAGAAGCACTTCCGGAAACCCTATAATTTCCTGAAATATCACTTTGAAGTAAGTCTGAACGGGGTGCTCACAGGCCATTGTGGCAGGAAGGCATGGAGGGCAAGTCTACTGGTGAAGATAGGATGACGTGCTTTGGAAGATTTTACTCGCTGGCGGCTGAAGCTCCCAATGCACCTGCTCCCACATGTGCTCAGGGCTGAAAGTCAAGGGCAGGACCAGGGAGCCTCTGCAAACGGGACTGCACTGAAAATGGGGCCACCTCCGCTAGATCTCGGCTCTGGTCCTAAAGCAGTGAAATAGAGGGGGCCCTCTATTCTGGGCGGCTAGTCAGAAGCCCTATCTCCAGGTTTTGACACTATTAGAACAGATGTATATCAGACATTCAGCAACTCACTGTCCCTCCCCAGGCTCAGGTTCCTAAGGTGTAAATTGGGGGCAAGACAGGAGGTGGCTGGGGTTCCTGAGACCTGCGCCCCTGCTTCCCCAAGGGCAGGCCCTCACAGATGACCTTCATCTCTTGGCTTTCTGTACATCATTTTGTTGGAAGAAAGGGTTCTGCTATTGAAAAGTGCTTGCAAACTGCTAAGGTTCCCTAAGATTCTCCATATCTTTAAAATTCTGCAGTCTCCTGGTCACCATGGAGCTCACAGTCAGCGCCAGGGCCTGCTCCTGACCATTCATTTCTCTACCCCTCACCCTGTGGGTAAGCCATCTGCACAGCACACCTCACGGGAGGCTTACCAAGTTTCAGCTCTCCTACTTTCACACAAATTCTCCCACTGAATCTTCATTACAAGACAATGGAACAGGTATTACCATTGGCCCATTTTAGATATTAAAAATCCCAGAGACTTAGAGGGATAAATGTCAGGCCCAACAGGTAGCAGAGACAAGATTTTTTTTCTTTTTTTTTTAGAGACAAGATTTAAATCCAGATCTATCTGAACTAAGCCTGGCTATACAGCATTTAAAAGCGAGGTTAGATGATGCAAATTCTCTCTGTATCATATACATTCTATCTACAGAGAGAGATGATAGGATGCCAGGACCCTGAACAACTATCTAGTCACATCCCTCATCCCCCCAAGTTTCTCAAAAGAAAAATATTGACAGAGGATAAGGCTAGTTTTATGGATTCTGTTTTAAGAAGTCAGTTCTTACGGTCCACAATAGCTAAGATGTGGAAGCAAATGTCCATCCACAGAGGAATGGATAAAGAAGATGTGGTACATATATACAATAGAATATTACTCGGCCATAAAAAAGGATGACAATGCCATTTGCAATAACATGGTTGGACCTAGACATTATCACCCTAAATAAGCCAGGCAAAGATAAACATTACACGATTGATCACTTGTATGTGGAATCTAAAGTATTAATACAAATCAACTTAAGCACAAAATAATAATAGACTCACATACATATAAAACAAACTTAGGGTTACCAAAGGGGAAAGGGGAAGGTGAGAGATAAATCAGGAATATGGGAGTAATGGATGTAAACTACTACATATAAAATAAACAATGAGGATTTACGGCATAGCACAGAGAACTATATTCAATGTCCTGTAATAAACTATAACGGAAATGAATCTGAAGCTACATACCTGAAACTAACACAATGCTGTAAATCAATTGTAGTTAAGTTAAAAAAAAAGGAAACTGGCTCTCTCCAGCCCACTTCCACCTCTGCCATCAGGTCTAAGTAAGCCAAGCTGGAAGACGTAGGCAATGCCATTTTCCTAACAGGAGGACGGTCTAGGGCCTATGTGTCAGACAAAATAGACTAGGCTTTACTGTGGCAACAAAAGATTCTTCAATCTCAGTGCCTTAAAACAGTAATGCCCTTCTTTTGCTATTCATTCATCCTAACGTGGAAAGGAAACTCTCATCATCACGAACACCCAGGACCCAAATTAATGGCGCCTCCCTCTCAACACATGCTCTTACGATTACAGAGTGAAACACCCATGGGCTCCTAACCCTCACTTCCTTAGCTCAAACAAAGCACATGACCACACCTCAGGTCAAGCTGGCTGAGAAATGCAGTCCTGGAATGAAATAACCAAACACTTTTGCGTGGTCCCTAAACATACCTCTGCTTAGAACTGTCACCACCTGCCTGCCTTTGCCCTTTGTCCATGCTTAGATATGGCTTTCCGTATTTCCCCACTACAGAGTCAAGCGGGAAGGAAGGGTATCTATCTTCCTATCTTCCACCCAGGGAGGAAAAGCCCTCTGGAAAGAAAGAAGTGCACAGAACATTACAACATTTTATCAGAATCATGTGTGTACATTTAAATAAATATTTTAGTAGTACCACTAATTACTAAGCACTGCTGAATTTTCTGCATTTTAGTATCAATTTGGAATAGTCTTTTAAAGGAGTATTTATAATAATCTGAAACACTGGTTATTTTACAGAGGAAAGATTTAAATATTACCTATGAATTGGATTATAACTTTATGTGTACAAAGCTAACATTTATGTGTTTCCTTTCAGGCCCTGGCAGATACTAAAATCTCTTCAGAGATATATAATGATGCAAATGATCTTCTTACTAAAGTAAAAAATGACAATTCTGCATCAATTGGACTGACCATTGGTGTGAGCCTTAAAGGCAGCCCAGTCATGGTGACTGCAGGTGTATCCACGTCACGAAATGCTTCCTTCTTAAAAAAGTTAAGCAAGTATAATGAGAAGGTATTAAAACATAATGCCCATGTTGCACAGTATTACATAATCTATGCCAAACACATACTACCTTAACCACATTAAAAAGTACAGTAGTAATTGAACCTTCATTTGCTTGTGTAATTGGAAATGTCTGATCAGTGGTAATCATGTTCATTTTATTACACTTTCACATACAGAATCATCACAAAGGGAATAACATTGCATGATAAGACTAGTACTCTTATCACTTCCCCATCCTTTTTCATGGTTACCTGGAGCATACAGGGAAATATAGAATGGTAATGTCTTAAAGAGAAACAGCCAAACCCTCTAAACTAGACTTGGAAGAATTCTACAGCAATCCTGACTTTTCCAAACAGATTGGATGGTTGGCCTGCTCAATGAATCTTTCTTCATCAACATTTCTTCATCAACCATTTACTACTAATTGGCTATTATCCTGTCTATTATCAGGCAATGCTTCCTTGAGGAAGTCAGGGAGTCTGCCTTAACTGATATCTAAAGACTAGTACCAGTTGTCTGGATGAAGTGAGGCAGAAGCTAACAGAAGGCTGTTCTCAGCCTGGGGAATGAGCATGTGCAAAGGCCTGGAGATGAGAGACTGCCTCACACAGATGTGGACTGAAAGGACTTCCACTGTCTGAAGTCCAGGTGGGAAGGGAAAACAGGGAGTGATAAGGATGGAGAGGTAGTCAGGAGCCAGAGCAATATTGATTGATAAGAAATTTACCTGAAAGCCTCAAAACATTGATACCAGAACTTGGGATTTACAGAGGGCTCAAAACATTATTTTACATGATGCTGCTGCTGCTAAGTCGCTTCAGTCGTGTCCGACTCTGTGCGACCCCATAGACAGCAGCCCACCAGGCTCTGCCGTCCTGGGATTCTCCAGGCAAGAACACTGGAGTGGGCTGCCATTTCCTTCTCCAATGCATGAAAGTGAAAAGTGAAAGTGAAGTCGCTCAGTTGTGTCCGACTCTTCGCAACCCCATGGACTGCAGCCCACCAAGCTCCTCCGTCCATGGGATTTTCCAGGCAAGAGCACTGGAGTGGGTTGCCATTGCCTTCTCCGATTTTACGTAATGAAAATACAGTTATAAAAATTAACTTTGTTAACAAATATAAATTACATTTTGGAGCTTTGTCACAATAAGCTATTGATCTGAAGGGAAGTGTTGTTCTGAGATGTGACTCTCACAGAGTCGTGTGGACTTTTCAAAAACCAGGTAGTTTCCTTCAACTTCCACTGTCACTTTGGAACAAGGTTTACATTCTCTGCAAGGAAAGCTCATGCATAACCCACTTCCTCTGAAACCAATCCAACCTCACCCTGGTCCTCTTTTTTTTTTTTTCATTATGATATCAGGATCCTGCATTTCTTGATTACTGAATGGTATAAGATTACCACTAAAATATAAGCTTTATGAGGACAGGGATTATCTCATTCAAGACCATGTTCCCTGCATTTAGCATAAAGCATGTGATGACAGGCACTGACAGGTATTTGTTCAACAAATTAAATGATATTAGCATTTCACAATGTCATCGAAATATTCCTAAGCATAATTTTTAATGGATGCCTAATACTTATGTTGGAAGTTGCATAATGCAATGCTTTAATTAGAGAAAGATGTGGAGGTAAGAGTTGGCTGAGGGCAGGATAGAGGCAAGGAACACAATGAAACACACCATAATAATGAACTCAGTGAGGGCTGATAAGAACTTGATCTGGATGGCATAGTAGCAACAGAGATGAAGGTACAGGAGAAGCCAGGTACACACTGGTGTCTAATATATGCTTGCAAAATGTAATAATACTCCATTATATATATTTATATACATACATATGTAAATATATCTATACATTTACATATAATTCCCATAGTTATATGTAGGTGTATATATATATATTACTATATATAATATATGTATACCACAGGTACTAAATGCTGACCTTTTACGTGATCTCATGTGGTAAAATATATACTGTTTTTGTTCTTTTCCCTCATTTAATGGTGGTCATTATTGTTGGCAGAAATACATCTTTATGAGAATTTTCACAAAGGTGCGGACTGCTCATTTTAAGATGAGGAGGGAAAACATCATGCTGGATGAAAGTATGCTGCAGTCACTAATGGAGCTTCCAGAGCGATACCATTATGGCATGTATGCCAAGTTCATCAATGACTATGGCACCCATTACATAACGTCTGGATCGATGGGTGGTGTTTATGAGTATATCCTGGTGCTTAACAGAGAAAAAATGGCAACAGCTGGTAAGTAGAATGGGCGTGTGATGCACATAGTGTTCAACGTGTACACCAGACATGGTGAGCAGTTTTCTAGTCACTGACTCTCAGCCATGCATGATCTCATTTAGTCTCCATGACAACCCTCTAAGGTAGCATTAGTATTATTATTTATAGGAATTTGAGGTTCAACAGGGTGAAGTGGCTTGCTCGGAAGCACCACAAATAGAATTTGAATGCAGACTTGTCTGGCTGTTCAAAATCGTGCATTTTCTATGGCACCATAGTTATTTCTTTATTAAAGGGTCTCTGGGGTCTTCCTATTTAAAATGTTAAAACATTTTAAATGTAGATTCTTGGTGGGTAGAATGGCCATCCAAGCAGTCAGTGATGGCAGAAACCTAGAGTCATTCCAGACCCTTCTTCCCCTCCACTCCTGTAGATCTCTAAGACCCTTCAGTTCTCTCTCCTTAGCAGCTCTCCTCCATCCTTTCTTCTACATCCCCTCCTGCAATGGGAGGCTGGGTTTACATCTTTCACTTATTACTGCAGCAACTCCTAAATGGTCTGCAAAGGAAGACTCACCTCTTCCAATCCATTCTCAATACTGCTACCAGAAGGATCTTTCTGCCTCACAGATCTTAGGATGTCACCTCCTTGCCTAAGATCCTGTGTGGCTAGTACTAAAGCTCTAAAATCTTTAGCAAGACATCAACAATCTCCATGGTCTCACTCCAAACTGCTAGAATAGTGGTTCTAAAACGTGTGGACTCCCACCAACAGCATCAGCATCACCTGGGAATGTGTTAAAATGCAAATTCTCAGGTTCTCATCCCAAACCTGCTAAACGGGAAACTCTGGGAGTGGGTCCAGCAGTGTGTGTTTCGACAATCACCCTCCAGGTTATTTTGATGCTTAGTATAGTTTAAGAACCAGTGAAAAAGTAGAAGGGTGAAAGGTGTATTCATTTTTCAAGCCCAAGTTCAACCTCCAAGTTTCAAGAAGTTTCTCTGACTGCACCAGTTCAGGCTGGTCAGTTTCTTCCTTCAACACATTCATATAAATTCCACACTTTAGTCTTTAAAGCAATTTTCCAAATGTTAATTATTTCTCTTCTCATCTAGACAGCAAGATCCTTAAAAGCAAGCATTGTGTCTGACACTTTTCCACCTCTTTAGCACTCAACACAGGGCTTAGTACACAGTGAGCAAGCAAAACAAGACATTGAGTTTGAAGAGGGTGTTAACTTAGATTCCTGACTAGGGCCATTCATAAACTCATCCATCTATCTCTGTATCCACTCTTTTATAATTCAAATATCTATTCAGTATCTTCTACAGGTTTGTGCTAGGGATACAAAGGCAAGCAACTCTAAACACAGTCCCTACCTTCCTGCAGCATAATACTTAACAAACTGCAGGTTGAAACCCAATAGTAGATCCTGAAATCATTGTATAGATCACAAACATTTTGAACATGGAAGAGAAAATATCATAATGGATTGTAGGCAGTGAGTATAAGTTATTGCTTCAAGAAACTTCTTTTGCTTAAAGACATATATATGTACAGAGTCATGACACATGAAATAGTTCAGGATAGATCAGTATAAAAATAGAGTTTGAAAAACTTAATTCAAGTGGATCTTATTATGAGTCACTCAAAGCCATAAGGAAGGACAAAGAGCTAACATTTATTGAGTACTTACTAAGTTCCAGGGCTGTTGTATATATTCTTATTTAATATTCTTGACAAGATTTGGAGGTTGGTGTTACTCTAGTTTTAGCCCCAGAAATGCTGAGGTTCCTTAGGGAAGTTAATTACTTTCCTATATTTGGCCCAGGGCTGCAGGAAACTGGCGTCAGACCCCTGGACCTGTATCTTTTCACCATGTGTTTCTGGTACAGCCTTTCATTTGGGCTCTGTCTTTGGTACTGGATTACTAATTAATTGCCTGGGGTATCTCAAGCCCCCTCTGCTTTAAAATCTGTGAGGCAGAAATGGGATTCCAATGTGGTTAATATTCAAAAGGAGCCCACCAACGAATTGTCCCAGGGATAATTACCTCAGCTCTGTTTATAGAAAACCATATGTCGATAATAGCACAATTTGCTATTTGTGAAGAGCTGATTTTCTATAAATCCGGAAAGTTAGTGTTGCTTTTCTATAAATATGGAAATGTGCTAATCATCACCTCATCTGCTGGAGCCCGCTAATAAATCAGAATGTCATTTACATATTAACCTACAAAGAATAAAAACATCTACCTTCTTTCCCTTTGACAAACAGAATCACGCATACTCTCACTCCATGTTTGATGCTTGTCTGATTTTCTCTTTGTCTCTTTCTCATCCTCTCTCTCATTCCTTCCCTCGCTCTCTTCTTTTTCAATGTCTTTTTTCTCTCTGGGTGTCTTTGATCTATATGACTTTAATAATATTTATATTCTATTAAGTGCTTGTTTCTAAGAAACACTGTGTGGTATACATCCCCTCCCTCAAAGAGCTGAGCTTGGAATGGAATGATTTAAATGAACACGGGCTGGTTTGCTTTGGGGGGGACTCATCCGTCCTTGGGTTTGCCTCAGATCCTCTATGGGTTCATCCCAGAGGATGCACGAGGCTGTTTTCTTCTAATGTGTCCTTTAGATAAAATGCTTCTCCCCTAAAGAGAGCATGAAACCGTGCATCAAAAATCAAGGGACGTCTTGGATGTTGGGGAGGTGATGTTAGACTTCAGTGGGACCCTAGACTTTCCTCAAGGGCTGCTGCTGACAGCTTTCTACCTTCTACAGGGATCAGTATGGCTTTGGGTTGGAATTTCTGGATTTAAATTTTTTTTTTCTCCTTCATCCCTTCTTTGGAGCTCCTATTATTTGTCTTTATATAAATATATGACAAAGAGAATAGTACATTCACCATCTGGCCTCTCTGGAGTCTGGCCCTATTACCGAGCTGATAATTTACCTAGGGCAGGTCAAGTATTTCAGTGACACTGTTCTGTTCATGTATGTTTCCTGATTCCTTTTGTGTGCATGCTGTCAGCCTCCAAAACACTTCCCTGTCTTGCCAAACTGACAGATTTCAACTTATTCTTCGGAACCTTGTACAGGTATCCCCACCTCTGTGAAACCTGCCCTGACATCCCTCTGCCCATTCTTTCATAGTTTTGTTCATACAGATATTCATTCATCAATTATGTTTGTATATGTGCCAGGTAAACAAAATAGGTATCGTTCCTGTTCTTGCAAAGCTTACAATCTAGTGGAAGAAACTAAATAAACACCTTAAAATCCAGATGTCATTCTTGGTTCCTCCTTTACTTTCTGCACCTCATCAGTGAGATCTGTCATCTTTTATTTCTAAAGCATACATGGCATCTGACCACATCTTTATTACCATCTAACTGGTCCAAATCACTGTGATCTCTTATCTGGCCACTGCTAGAGTATGATGGCTTTTGTTTTGTCTTTCTTTACTTTTCTCCTCTTTCCTTTTACTTTTTCTTTCATTTCTTTCTATTCTTGTTGTTATCACTGTTGTTCTGCAAACACTCTAACATAGCAAGCTTATTTTAGCCTACAGCCTCGGTACTAGCAGTTCTCTCCATCTGGGCTACCCTTCCCTCTGATGTTTGCATAGCTGTATTCTAACCATTCAAATCTCAACTTAAATGCCCTCCTTTCCAAAAGGCCTTTTATGACCATGTAGCAAGTCCCTCTTTGGTATAGCATCCTATTTTGATTCTCAGGCCATCACTATATATTCAGTAATTACCATGTTCACATGCTTATTTGTTTATTGTCAACCTCTTCTTCCTAGTATGCATGTTCCATGAGAGCAGGGACCTCACATGTTTTGTTTGCTATTATATATTCATTTCCTAGAACAGTGTTTGGCCTTAATAGCTTCTGTTGAGTGAGCTAATGAATAGATACATGAAGTGAAGTGAAATGAAAGTCACTCAGTCATGTCCGACTTTTTGAGACCCCATGGACTATACAGTCCATGGAATTCTCCAGGCCATAATACTGGAGTGGGTAGCCTTTCCCTTCTCCAGGGGATCTTCCCAACTCAGGGATCAAACCCAGGTCTTCCCCATTGCAGGTGGATTCTTTACCAGCTGAGCCAATTGCAAATTGTGATATGAGCTATGTAGAAAATGAACAGGTTGTAGAAATAGAGACTAACTGTGGAAGGAGAGGGAGCAGATAGTCAGTTTAGGATTATCTGGGAAAGTCTCTTGAGGATATAGGATAAGGTCCAAAAAGATACTCAGAAGGAGACTCCCAAGACAAGAGGGAAGGTGCCCTGGGCAGAATGGACAGCCTGGAGTGTTTGAGAACTGAAATAATAATGTGTGGCTGAAGCCTGCAGATAAGGTGGGGGATGGAGGGAGCTGAGGTTGGAAGTAGCTGCAGATGGTCTTTCTGGTTGTGGTAAGAAGTATAGACCTTGTCTGCAGTGAAAAGGAAATCCCTAAAAGTTTACCCAGCAGTGCCATGGTCTAATTTCTGTGTCAGTAGGTCATTCCACTGTCTGGAGAGCACAGATTAGAGGGGGTGAGAGCAGACTCAGGGAGCACAGTTAGAAGACTCTTGTTGGTATCCAGGTAAGGAATCAAGAATGGAGATGAAAGAATATGATCGATTCGAGACATATTTTGAAATAGAGTTTAGGTAATTTGCAGATGACCTGGGTATGAATTGTGAAGTATAAATACTCCTTCTATATTATATTTCAACCACACACACACACACACACACACACACACACACACACACACACACATATTAGGGCGAGAAGAACATGATGAGTGTGCCTGGGAGGACCAACTTCCTAGGAGAGGTACCTCTAGGCATTTGGAAATATGGCAGGGATTCTCAAGCCAAGAAAATAATCCAGAATATATATGTATGTATATATAAATTCATATACTATACTAATTATAATTATCTATATGTGTCTTCTACTAGACAATGAACTAGACTTTCCCTTTATGGCCAATGTAGGTAGGTCTTGCACGTGCAT